TCCTCCCGCACCGACGGCCAAGGGGGACCTGTCACCTGATGGGTGTGGGGGTGTTAGGGGCCATCCGCGCCTTGTGATAAGGTTGGCCAAGGTTGCGAAACACTGTCCTAAGGATCGAGGTTTAGCAATGTAAGGTTACCAGGTAAAGGGTGGTGTCTCTTCCTGGAATGAAATCATGATGTTTGAGCAGTCACGGAAAGGTGACAGGCCAGGTCATGTAGCTGACCAAGTGACCTTTGTCTTCCCATTCTCCCCCACTACAGGTTGTCTCTTTGCACCGCTGACCTCTTTCCTGTAAATGGTTGAAGAGAGTTGGGAGCCAACCGTTGACGCAACTCCGTGTTTATAAAAAAAACGAACAAGCCAGCCGTTGGTCGGTGCACTGTAAGAGTGGCAGAGCCAAACATCTGGGAAGAAATGTGGTTCTGATCCCACAAAGGTGGGAACGTTTAAACTGGGACAATGGGAGGGTTTATTTGATGCGGGGACACAAAAGGGGTCGATTGACCCATCCAGTAGCCCCAGAGGGTTAAATTTCACCAAAAACTGGTTTAGAAGAGCTGCCTCCTATTTGCCAGTTGGGAACAAGAAGTCAGGAAGCCCTGCCTTTGCTAGGGATTTGGGAAGAAACCGAAGGAGCACTTAATTCCCCAAATGGGGATATGGTGGCTTGTAACCCAGCTTGTGTGCTACGCGTTGCTGGAAGGACTGGCAAGATTTGACTGGGGCAGTGGCCGCCTGGTTCAGCATGTGGCGGGAAGAGGGGCACCGGATCTTCAACCTTATGCGTGCCATGGTGCCCACCAGCTCTCCCCTCGCATCACTGCGTTTTACGATCCTTTTACTTCAAAACGATTAAATGAGCAGCTAACACGGTGCAGAGCAAAGCACAACGTGAAGTTTGATTTCGAAGAACCTTTCTGAGCTCCACGTACAGCCAGGGGCATAATTAGAAAATAAAAACAGTAAGGGGTAGAATCGCACTCGTGTCGCCAGAAGAAAGTTGGGAGGGAGTTTCCTGGGCAGAATCGTCTGCAAAAACTGGAGGCTTCCTCAAAATGACAAAGCCACCATCATGATGTCATGGGAGAAGCTCAGCTCCTTACGTACTTGCGTGCAATGCCATGACACAAGTACAAAAGGGTGGAGTTTGCGTCATGACATCACAACGAGCATTTTGTCATTTCCTCCTTGACCCATCAGGGATTCCCACATCCGTATGGAAGAGACGTGAGGGGCCACCCCACCAGCACCCCGTAGCACCCCACCAGCACCCCACCATTTATTTGTCTTCTCGTAATCTTTTCTTTTTTCTTTTTTTTTTAAGTATTTTTCTTTTTCATTTTTTTCTCCCCCCCTCCCCATTTCATTATATTGTTACAAACCTTAGTACATTGTGTTGTTTCCATACCTTGATATCAGTATGATATGTTTAAAATCATTAACGTTCTATTACTTAAATGGCTTAGAATACTGGAGAATAGGAAAGAGAAAGGGGAAAAAAATATTCTATTAATGTTAATTACAATTTAGGATGGCAATATTAGAAGCATAACATTATTTAGCTTCTTCATCCAAAGTTGAGTATAACATTGACAAAGAGCCAGTACAACTCACATGAAAATAATTGTTATAGACTAGAGCAGTGTTTCTCTACCTTGGCAACTTGAAGATGCGTGGACTTCAACTCCCAGATGTAAGGCATTTTAAAGATGATTCCTGCCTTCATCCTTGAGGCATCCTTTGACACCACCAGCGCCCTTTTCTGTGAAATCGGCATGATGCAGCTGGGTGCGAGGCGCTCTGGCCGCCACACTAGTGAAGGCTCCCCTCTTCCCTGCAGCCACGTTGTGGCAGCGCTCCTGACCTTTGCAAAATTCAAAATGGCACTAAAATGCTGGGCCATCGTAATGTTTTGTGAACCTGGGAAGAAATAGCAAAGGCCGAGGCAGCAGGAGGAAGGGGAAAGACGCTTCTATTAAAATTTAATCTGTCTCTTCTCAGTCAAATATGCTCTTGTTTCTCTGGGTCTTGTTGACCTACTTTTCGTCTCCCATTTGTTTCTCGAAGTTGCCAACGCAACAGGACGGTTTGGGTTGAGCTGGCCTGTCAGCCCAAGTCATGGGTACGCAAAGCTTTATTTGAGTTGGCAAGAAGCAGAAAAAATTGTCAGGGTGACCGTTGGCCTCCTCTCTTAGCTACCCTCTTTTCTCTTTCTGTTTTTTATGGTGCTCGCCAAATGTATCCTGGATCAAGATCTGGATCAAGAACTTGGAGCCTTTCGTGTTCCTCTCAGGACAATCCACCCCTTAAGCCGCAAACAAATGAACAACCTTTTAACTTATCAGAAGGAGCCTGATGAATTCAAAACTCTGAACCGAGGTTTTTGGATTAACACCCTGAACCATAGCCTAACCACGTTGATTGGAAAGGAGAATCTGAAAATATTCCAGATGTCTTTGAGAGCTCCTCAACAGACAGAAATTGTGAAATTTGTCCCTGTAGAAAGAGAATAGAAATTCACTAAACCAATGAGTTGGTGCTGAGAAATAACATGTGTAGGTCCATCTGCCCGTTCTAAAGGTAATCTGTGACCCTTCAGATGTTGCTGGTATTCCCAATACCCCATTCCTTGGATAGGCTAGTTGGGAGGCATTATGCCCTAGGTTCCCCAGAGCAAAGGGCAGAATCCAGCCTTCCCCAAACTGTGCTTTCCCGTGGGACTGATGTTCAGCTCCCCTTGTTCCAGGGGTGTCTGCATGCTGTGGTCCAAGAAGTCAAGATGGTGGCCATGCCGGTGCACTCAAAGCTTTGCCATTTTGTATGCATGTCGCACATGGAAGCTGGAGTTTTGAGTGCATCACTGTGGCCGCCATCTTGACTTCTTTTTAACCACCCCCTGAGGACATCCGTGCCCTGTTCCCAACCTTCTGTGAAGGGCAAAGATAGTAGGGGAGGAAGCAACTGATGGTGCCGGTAGATTCATTCTTGTGAGAGGACGGATGGCTGAACTTCTGCTAACTCACCGTTTCCTGCACAGCTATCTCCTTCTGCTGACTTTACTTTATTGCTTGGCTGATACCATCGTGATTGGATAACTCTCTGCAGCAAGGCCATTGGTATAGAAAGAGGTTTACCTGGGTACATTCAGTCCTGGCTTTGCTGGAAATAGGAGACAGCAGAAGAACATCTCCAGGGGTGCTGGTGGAGGTCTTGGTTCCAGATAAAGTCCAAGAGATATTGAAGGTGTTAATTGCCTCCATGAGCAAAGAGCCACTAAGGTTTCAGACATCTCCCTCTCTAATGGTTGGAATTTATAGATGTTTTCTTTTGTAATACATCAGAGTTCTATTTTTCTTACTCTCATGAGTAAAAAAAACATTGTTGTTCCTTCTTACACAGTGACTGGATTCACATATTGCAATAAACCATCATGAGATTGATTCGGTTTTGCTTACCTTTGGCCCTGAAATCAGCCAGCTGTGATTTGTAAATCGTATGAGTAAACCTGGTCCCTGCATTTCGGAAAGCAAATTACGTGAATCCATTCAACTGTAGATTACTAAATCATGTCAAGCAAACCATGTTTAGTGCAGATTAGTGCAAGACTCTGTACCTCCAAATCTCCAGACCTGGAGAGAGGATGGTCCTGTGGAAGAGAGGAAAGTAACCCCACTCCTGGGTCCCCTTGACAATAAATCAGTGCAAGAGGACCACACTCCACCCGGGAACAGCAGGCTAGAAACCAGGAGATGGCGAGTTCTAGTCCCGCCTTAGGCGTGAAGGCAGCTGGGTGACTTTGAGCCCGTCACTCCCTCTCAGCCAACTCACGTCACAAGGTGGTTGTTGTTGTGGGGAAATAGGAGGAGGAAGGAGTATTAGGTGTGTTCGCCTCCTTGAGTTACAGTATTTATAAAAATAAGAAAGGCGGGATACAAAATCTGAAACAAAAACCAAAGAAACATTTCACCTACATTCTCGTTTCCTTCGGAAGGACCGCGGACCGCAAATGTTCTTCTCAGACTGAATGAGGACTAATTGCAAAAGCTGCAGGAGAATTTGGCTGCACAGTCCTAGTTTCCTTAGTTTCACTTGAGCATTTGGGATGAACGTAGGCTAAAGTCTACGGCATACTGAGTTGTGCGAACCCTGGTCATTGTGATTTTTCAGTAAACCATGTTTAAGCAAACCACGATGTGTGAGTTCAGCTGAAACCTTCTGCCACCAGCCTCCCTCTTTGCAATGTTTATTCTGCATCTAATCACCCCCCTGGGTCATCTTTGGGGCAGTTTCAACCCTGACCATTTAATTTCTTCATTATTTTTTTCGGGCTGAGTTTGGAGGGTTAGTACCCTCACTGAATTCTGGAAGGGGGTTTCCTTCATTTCCAAAATGGCATATCAGTTGGTTTGAGACAGATGTCATAGGCAGCATACATGATTAATTGCACACATCCTTCCACGGTTATAAAAAACAACAAGAGAATTATAATTATTACTGTACAAGGTGCAAAAGAGATGCTTGAAGCAGAAATCCTTCTTAAAGCCCAATCTTCTTCCACTCCTGAAGTTCTTTCTTTTATTTTGTTCATGAGATCACGGCCAGAATTTTGCACACCAACTTTCTTCTGCCTCTGGAAAGGTGCGGAAAAGCAGGGTGTGAATGAAAGAATCCAGGATCCCACGCCGAATTCTTGACCTTTTGCTCAGGGCGCCGAGCTGAGACCGGGGATCCGCGCAGCGCGGCCGGACAGCCGATCTCCAGGCGCCCCCTTCAGGGCGACACGGGAAACAACAGGCGAGTTTGCTCCTTGGCAGAAGTGCTGCCGTCAACCAGCACCAGGGGGCGCTCTGAGTACTTCTGGACGATGCTGGAAACGCTGTCGAACAGCTGGCGAGGGAAAGATAAGTCCACATCGGTGTCCCCAGCTCGCCCCTTTCCCTGCTTTTGAATCTGGGTTTCCTCAAATCGGGGAAAGCTGTGGGGCAAAGGTGAGTGGGGGCTGTTGCAGATGCTGAATGCTGGCTTGGGGGGCACTTAATCATTTTCCCTTTCAATCTTGGGGGAGATTATGAAGATTAGTTTGGTTACTTCAAATTCAAGGAGTCTACCCTGTTGTGTTTTGGGGCCACTTCCTGAGTGGGACCCTGGATGTTTCCCCCCAAAATCCCACCTGTAGCACCACTAAGAATATTATTTCATTGTTTTTGCCGTTGTTAGATTTTGCCTTTCCTTCAAAATGTACCCCTCCTCCGATTTATTCCCACCACAAGAATCCTGGGAAGCAGGTTGGGCCGAGAGAGAGTGCCTGGCTCCAAGGCACCCCTGAGCTTCTATGGGCCTCCCCAGGGCCAGCCCCACACCCAAACTGCTACACATACTTGAGCAGGGGCGGGGGGGGGGGGGGGCTGAACCATTCTGGCTTGAAAATGGTTTAGGGTTTAGCATGTTGTGTGGAGCCTGCCAACTGTGACTTATTCAACCAATCCTGGTTAAACAAAACATGGCTTACCGCAATGTGTGATCCAGGCCATGATCTGGCAATGAAAAGTGTTAAGCCCCCACTTTTCCTCCATCACTAAAATTAACCATGATCTACATGATTTTGCCAGGTAGCCTATGTGCCTGCCAAGCCAAGATGATGTCACAAGCATTGTGACCTCACTGACAAATGGTGGGGGCAACTTACATAAATGACATCATTCATGCCATTTGCATGATGATATCACTGTGCATGTGATATCCTTTTTCCCCCGGTCCTCTCCCTTGGATGTCCACACCAAGCAGCTTCCTATCCAGACGCTAAGCAGAGCTAACTCTGCTTTGTGGCCACAAAGATGGCCACGTCAGGAGGCAGAAGCTTGCGTATGGGACGTAGGACTGGATCTCCTAGAGGTCCAACCCTCCCCTCCACTCACCTCCTCATGGCTTTTGCCGTCCTTGCCAAGTGCAAACTGACCGCTGCTCTCCCGGTACTGGATGGGAACGTTGTAGACATGATTCTTGTAAAGAACCACCAAGGTGAAGGGCTGGCTCGGAGAGTGGTGGGAACTCTGCCGCACCATGAAGGCGCTGTTCTGCATGAAAGGAACGAAGAGGAGGAGAGCAAAGTGTCAAGGAGGCCTTCCAAATCCACTGAAACGCTTGAAAGTCTATTCAAGCGCTTTGAACCCAAATGAATTTTCTTCTCTGCCTCATGGACTCAGAGAAAGCTTGAGTTGGGAGGCCAAGAAAGAGCCATTTCTGGCTCCATGGAGAAACCTCCGAGGCCAGTCCATTGAGATCTTTCTTTGTTCAAAAGAGGACTTCTCCAGGCTGGAGAAGAGGTTGGAATTACAGATGGAGTTGAAGACAGGATAGGAATGTGTTGGGATTACAACTCCCAGAATTTCCCAGCCAAGGTGGACAAAACATAACCCCTGTGCTTTGACTGTGCAAACTGGAAGGTGGAATTCCAACATATTAGGTAGGGGAAGACTAGTTTAGAGGGTGGGCAAGCCCCCCCCCACTTGAGGATTCAATAGATAGTCTGGAATGTCCCTCCCTGCTAATTAAACCACGAAGCATAATTAGGAAGTGCTTTCAATGCTGCAATGAATCCATCCATTTCTTGCTTTGATACTCTTTCTTGAAGCGCAGCATCTAGGGCAGTATTTTTTGACCTTGGCAGCTTTTGGATGTGTGGACTTC